ACGTTTTGCTGAAATCAGTGCTTAAACTGGTTTTCAATAAAGTCACTTCTGTCTGTGCTCAAACTCAGTCTTAGCACCAGTTATAATGCCTATCAAGAGCTAAAGAATTACCTTTTGTAAAAATAATACAAAATTTGGAGCTTGTTTTTTTATTCAGTTTGAGTGCTTACGCATGTCGTATTCGACAGTAGAGAATTACCCATATCTCATCCTGCGGAGTTTGCTTCCTTTCTTCCTTTTTGGGTATTATTTTGACATTATTAGAAATATAAATAAGTTTATAAATTATATTCGTTTTTAAGTCGTATGTTTTTCTTTTAATGTATCTAAAGTAAGTGTTAATATCATGTGTACATATAATTTTTGGTTACATTTTTTCTTATATCCTCTCATTTAGAACACAATCAAAATTGCCGAAATCAAATCGCAGAACGATCAATTGGAATGTCAAAAGCTCGAGGAGAAAGCTCGCATTTATGAGAACAAATTGTTCGCCGCAGAGCAGAAGCGCGAAAAGGAATTGCAAAAGAAAATTGAAAAAGTTCAAAAACTCGTACGTTTTCTCAAAAAAGCAACCATTTGTCTTAATGTTTGAGTAGCACTTGGTTGAAGTGGTTGCATCAGTTGCAGCACCATTTGCTAATGAGTCCCGACTAATCCTTCATCGTTTTGTTTTTTACTTTTAGGAGCGTCGTGCCGAGCTAGTACGCCAAAACAAGGCCCAGGCTCAGGACATGGAAGGCCAGCAGAGCCCCATTGCTTCATCTGGTTAGAGTGGTCGATTTTGCACCGAGAGCTGTGCTCACACTTACTGCAAACAAGGCGACTAGGCGACTGCAAAAAGAACAGCAACACTGCATAATAAACCAACACAAATTTAAGCAAGAAAACCCTTTAAAATGAAACCAATTTCTTCAAAATTCTCAAGTATTATTAAATGAAACGAAAAGGCAAGAGGAAAATCTCAACACACCGCTGAAAGAAAAGAGCCGAATAACAGCAAAAAATGTACTCACAAACCCTAAAGCAAAAAGCTAAAAGCAAAGCAAAAAGAAAGAAATGCTTACGGCAAATTAATGCAACAAATATAAAGTAAGGGCAATCTACATATATTTAAACTAAAAGACAGACAGAAGCCAGAAAATTGAAAGCCTGTCGTTTAATTTGAAAATTATATTAATATTTGCCTTATTTTATTTTTTTTAAGCTTAAAACTTTTAACCTTTTTCGTTTTTAAAAGTGTTGTATGCATTTTGTATTCATAATTTTGATTATCTTAGTCTTAAGCAATTATTTAATTGCTGGGTATGCTTCAAAACATAATAGCACGCTGTATTTGCATCAATAAATGGCTTTTGCGCGTATAATTAATATTCATTTTAATATATAATTAAATATTCATTTTAATATACTAACTTGCCAAACAATTTTTATATTTGCTGAATATCGTTCAACACTAACGAATAATTATTTTTTATAAGTTTCGCATTTCCTATATATATAAAATAAATGTCAAACAGAAAAAATACATACGAAATGCTTAAAAACTTCAATAAAAATCAAATACAATGTAAAACACGAAATACATTTTGGTTTTATTTACATACAACACAACACGACACGCAAAAACCATTATTATGAATGAAAAGAAACTACATATGTATAAGCATACATATATGTCAGTATATTATATGGAAATGAATATTTTGTCTAACGTCGAGTTATTTTTAGAAATGGGTTTATATACATTGAATGGGGTTACAATAAAAAAAAGTATGTAAGGCAAGACAAATGGGATATTTAGGCAAATTTTTTTCATCCTGCGAGTTTTTGATTTAATTTCGAACCAAAGGGCGCTTTAAAGGATAGCTTAAATTTAAATCAAATAACGTTATAAATGTGTACTCGTGTAAAACTATAGCTTCTACAAATGAATATCAATAATAATCGTAATAAAAAGAGCAATGGCAAAATAACTACACGCACAGACCAAAAATTACCCAGACACGAAAACTTTCAAACATTCTCAAGAAAAGTGAAGAAATAAATAAAAGTAAAGCATCAATACAATTGAAAAAAAAATGCTTTGATATTTACTCAATTTATGATATATCAACGTCTAATTAATCTAATCTAATGCAATATTCAATTGAACGAAGCTTTCAAGAAAAAAATATCTATACGTTTTGAATCCAACGTTCTTAACACAAACCAGAAATACGATTGCTTACAAAAAACTTTTTCTGAGTTTACGCATAAATTAAGTTCATATAAAACACACATAACTGACCATATGCAAGCGAAAACACTTATAAAAATTGTATTATAAAAGTGCATAATACAAATAAATGACATATTTATAATTGTTTGATTGTTTTTCTAAATTTTTATTTTTTAAACGTTTTTATTTGATGTACACATTAGCATATCAATTTTTGGGAGAGTTTACTATCTTTAACAATATAAATTGTTATGGTATAAATAAGCTATTTATATTAAAAAAAAAAAACTATCGCTTCCAAAACTTGGTAAACATAACTGGAGATAAAAACCAAGAAGATACGCTATAGTCGAGTGGTTCGACTTTTTAGCATCCGTTATACAGCTGTCCAATTTCAAAATATATATGTCCCCCGAAAAAAATGGGCTTAGGTGGCGCGATTTCGTGATTTAAGGGCCTAAGTGTGGGCGTGGCCACATTTTGAAATAAACTAGGCATAACTGGAATCTGCACCTTATCTACAAACATTTAATTATATAAGAATTCCGAGTTTTAATTATATAAGAATTCCGAGTTTTTGATAAAATCGGCAGACGGAGTTTCCAGCTTGAAGGCTGCTTCCCGCGAACTTAAAATTTAACTACGCGGTTCATTATAATCATATTTTTTTGCTGAGATTTTGTGAAACATGGGGAATAATAATCTTATAACGTTTTTCCTCTTATATCCTTGAGAAAACGTCCTTTAAGCCAGTCAAGCGTGCCACACTAAGTGAGAAAAAAATTGCCGACGGCATTGAAAGCGAATTTTTCAACTTTAAGTTTGAAATATGTACGTGCAGAACTCGAATGTGCACTAAATCGTTAATGTTCTTTATCCGTACGCACATTTTTGGGGCATGTAGATTCAGCCCACATGTTACAATTTTCAACTATACGCCTTCGCCGCAAAGTTACTCGTGTGCCATCTCCACCATCAAAAAAGACCCGTCAGCTTTCACAGTGGCGCAAGAAGAATTATTTGAAAAACTTTTCAGCTGATCTATACAGCAACAACATCAAAACAAAAACAAAGTCAACAAGTCAACGTTCTTTGTATACCTTTTTGATGAGCCACAGCTGTTCAGATCAGATGTTATCGGATGGTGGATGTGCTCTGTGGAAATCGCGTTTTCTCATTTTTCAAAAATTCCCAACGAAGAACTGCGTGCGAAGAGGGTTGCGCCGAAAAAAAAATAGGCATAAGTCAATAAGGACGTCAAATTTGAATCGCGGACTAACGGATGATGGATGGATCTCTGTGAGAAGAGGCATTGCATATCAAGACCTTAAGAAAATCAATTCGTGTAGGAGAAATAACGGTGCAAGTAAAAAATACCAGCTTAGAAAATCTGAGCTTTAGAGTCGGTTCGCCAAAATGTTCCACTTTATTGAGCTGGTTGCACTTTTGTTCAAATCGCACATAAAAGTTATTGAAATAAAAAGAACATTTTTAAAATAAAAAGAATTCCAACTTTGAGATAAACGTCCAAAAAGCCCCAACACCCGATTATTTTCAAATGTTCAGGATGGATGTATTTTGGGGTCCTGATTACGAATACCGTTAATATGAATGAGTCCTATAATATGAACTTTATCAAAAAAACATTTAAACCAAAGTTGGAGATCTAGATTTGTCCCTTTTTTTGCGTAAATCTGATAGTTTACGATTGGGCTGTTGCCTTCAAACCACAATTTTAAAATGATTGCTCAAATAATTCGACTGAGTTGGCATCACCGCGTAGATAGCGTATTTCCACAGAGATCCATCCACATTCCACCATACGTTGAGGGGATGGTCCATAAGGTTTTGCCGCTCCAAAAACTTCCCAGTCAGTCCGCCGTTAAAATTTAATGGTCTTTGACGGTCTAATTTATGCGATAGTTAGACGATGTTTATGCGGTGCAGCCCTGTTCCAACGCAGTCCATCACTGAAAAAAGTGAAACTCCGATTTCCACAGAGCACATCCACCCTCCGATTTCAGCTGATCTGAAATTAATAAAGTTAATATTTAACGAGATATCGACCAAAATAGTTAGCTTTTTAGCCGTCATTTCACACGAGCGTCGAATCTTCCAACATCACCTAGATAGGGATGAGCAAACTTGCTTAACGCGAATCGATACATTATTTCTTTCGTGAATGTTATCGATATACTATCTGTAAAAATAAACCATAACAAACAGAAAATAATACCAAAAACTAAACATAAAAAAAGAACAAACGAGATCTTGTAACACTGAATATAAATAATATAACACAAAATAAAAAACCATAATAAAACCATAAGCAAATAAAACCAAAATTGAAATTTCAAAAACCATAACGTTTAATTTTTCTCGTAAATTAACAGGAAATGTGTATTTCAACTGGAAACTTTTCTTAAAAGGTTTTTTTCGATAAAGTTCATTTTATAGGATTTATTCTCCAAGAAATCGGTTTTGTCGGAAACTATAACTAGGGCCCCAAAATACATGGAACCTGAACATTTGAAAATGATCGTTCCTTGGGGCTTTTCGGAAGTTTATCCGCAGTTTGATTTGATTTCACAGTAAATAATGATTTTAATGAAAAATTCAGACTCATATGGTTTTCACCTATTTAACAGATTAGAAGGTCGCTCAACTGCTGGAACTTGAATTTGTATAGAACAGCTGACAAACTCCTCAGTAAAATGAAAAGATTAAGGAATACCCTACTTATTTGTTTGGCACGAAACGTTGGGCAGAGGTAATTTTGGTATTGCCTCGGTAGCGGTGCAAGGTCACACTTTCTGGCAGATTAATGTCGAGGGTGTGAATCACAATAAATTAAGTAAAAAGTGCAAGATAACAGACAACAGACACCGATTCCCTGACACAATGGCAGCCACCCTGAAGCCCTACCTGACCGCAGTGCGCCACTCGCTGACGGCGGCGATGTGCCTGCAGGACTTCCCCTCGCAGGTGGTAGAGCGCCACAACAAGCCAGAGGTGGAGATTTGTTCCAGCAAGGAACTGGTCCTAACGCCCGTCGTGGTGTCGCGCAACGAGCGCGAGAAGGTCCTGATTGAGCCGTCGATCAACTCTGTGCGCGTGAGCATCGCTGTGAAGCAGGCGGACGAGATTGAGCGCATCCTCTGCCACAAGTTCACCCGGTTCATGATGCGTCGCGCCGAGTCGTTTGTCATTCTGCGCCGTAAGCCCATCGAGGGCTACGACATCAGCTTCCTGATCACGAACTTCCACACGGAGCAGATGTACAAGCACAAGCTGGTGGACTTCGTCATAAGCTTCATGGAGGAGATCGACAAGGAGATAAGCGAGATGAAGCTGGCGGTCAACGCCAGGGCCCGCACTTGCGCCGAGGAGTTCCTCAAACGCTTCTAGGTAGGTGAGCAGCCAGCTTGTAGAGAAACCCATTCTGACTCTCAAAATTCTTGCAGGTGAACAGTCTTCAAGCCCGGCTTACCAAAGTCACGATGCTCTAGTATTTCAAAATCGATTCAAGAATAAAGACGTCTTTTGTATTATTTACTCAACTACCTCAGTGTTCAGAAGGCTGCACCTTGCCGCACCACAACAAGACCACAGCGTTCTCGTAGACCATTTCCAGCTGATGTGGACTCGTCTCGGGAGGCACTGCCTCCACAACTGTGGCCGAACCGTTTAAAGTGACATTGTCCGTCTCGGCATTTTGGTCTGTGAAGTGGTACTGGCCCGAGCTGGTGGCCAGAACCGGCAACACTGGGTTTAGGCCCACTCCATTGCAGCAGTCCGAATGCAGTGGCAGCACAGAGGCCTCTCCGGCACCCGTGAGATCCCAGACATTCAGGACTCCTCGCGTGTCGCCGCTAGTGAGCCATCGGCAGTCGGTCGTGATGTCAAACTGAATGCGCTGGTTGGTATCCACATGGCGCTGGAACTCGACCAGCGGCATCTTGTAGTTGCGCATGTCCCACTGCAAAATCTTGCCGCACTTGCGAGCTCCACTGAATAGATGACACCCGTTCCCGGCGTAACGCAGTTGAGTGATGCCGCCCTTGTGCCCGCCCAGCGTAAAGAGCGGACCCTCCTTTGGACTGCAGCGCAGGTCAAAGTGCTGGACATAGCCGTGCCAGTTGCCGCAGGTCAGCGTGTGGGAGTGCTCGCTGTTCTGGGCAATGCAGGAGATGGCAAACTTAACGGGGTAATCGTCGCACAGTCTTCCTGGCCTGTGATAAAGAGGATAAAGGCTAACTGGGGAACGCAACACAGTGCCAGTGCCTGCTCACCTGCTGGTGTCAAAGATCTTGATGCATCGTTTGTACCCGGCATAGACCTTTTGGCCGTCGTGGGAGAAGGCCAAAGAGATGGCCGCCATGACTTCGTCCACAGCATCGTACCCGCTGTAGCTGCAACGCAGTGACCCGTCGAAGGCGTCCCACATGTGAATGGGCTCGTGCTGCCGCGTGGCGAGCCAACTGGGAAGATGGAGTCGGGATTAGGGTCTGGACAGATCTCCAGCTAGCAGTCTACTCACAAGCAGGAGTCCGGCTGCTGGCTGTTCATGTGCGGAAACCAGACGCAGTCGTAAACGGTTCCACCCTCGGGCACGTGCACCGCTGACTGGAGTTTGGTTAGGTGACGCGACTGCTGCACCGTTGGCGTGGAATAAAGATCGGTGGGCAGCTCCATGACGTGCATGCCGTCCAGGTGGATGGGCACGAGGAGGCAGGTGCCGTCCGGCGACCAGTAGCAGCCCTTGGTGTAGTGCTGGACTTCCGTCGATGACGTCCAGCAGCGTCGCCCCAGCTCCACCAGTTTGCCGTGGAAGAACTCCAGTGGTGCCCCTTCAGGAGCCTGGGACCCCGGCACATCCTGTACATCGGCCGACGTCCGTTCCACGGTGTCATCTATGTCGATGACTCGCCCACTCTCCTCCTCCCCGTACTCCTGCGAAGATCGGGCCTCCAGGCTCGTCTCCATGGGCACAGATGCATCCAGGGCGGCTGCGTCGCCCGCTGGCTGTGGCAAACGCAGCTTCAATATTTCCGCCTCTGAGAGGGTTACGCTGAGTTTGGGTACCGTAATATCGCCGGCGGACGTAATCATTGTGCTGCTGAAGTTCACGTTGTGGTTCAGCATGGACTCGTCCCCGTCGCACATGGATGTGCTTAAATCAACGGCTATAAAGTTAGCTATGTTTACAGATTCGCTATAAGTATTTAAAATTGCACTTACAAGCGTCCATCTCGCTTATTTTTACCGCTTAAGCATAGTGTGACCGTGCGTGGGACGCAACAATATACCAATTTCGAATGTTATTAGAATATGTTCGTCAGCTATAAGAGCGAGAGGGAGGCAAATAAGCGGCGTACACTTTTCGTATATTTTCGCCGCGGTAGCCAGATCGACGAAAAAAATACCAGAAAATTGCAAAGCGTTGCCAGCCGTCTAGGATGAAGTCTGGGTAAGCTTTCATCAGGCCCTGGCGCAAAGAACAAAGTTTTGTACTCAGATCGCAGAAAAGTTTCGCCAGCGAAAAACTTTATTCTTTCTAGTGTGTCCGAAGTTTTGGGAATTCATCGGAACTGTGTTTGCTGCGGTCTTACTGTCGGTCAGCTGGGCTTGTTGAGAAATGGAAAACAATACAAATTTAACCCGCCAACTTGCAACTATGTATATTTTATCAATATCAATACTGTATATGTATATTTAGTATTTAATAATGTAAAATTATGAATACAAATATTTATTTTTTCAGCTATATTTTGGGAAGCATTCAACAAAAGTGGCTTTAAAATGGATCGGGAACATATCGTCAACAACATTTTATTATTGTAGTCAATTTTTCTGAGTTTTTTTCGTCTGCCACCGTCAACCTCAAAAGATAAATTTAGACACAGCACATTCCTGCAAAAAAAATTTTAAGCCGGCAGTAAATAAGATTAAAAAATTTCAGCCATATTTTCTATTGGTAACCAAAAAAAGTTACTTGAAATTTTGTATACTCTTGCAGAGGGTATTATAATTTCAGTCAGAAGTTTGCAACGCAGTGAAGGAGACATCTCCGACCCTATAAAGTATGTACGTATGTATATACAATTGGCACACGCTTAACACGGGGGTTACGTTGCTCGTGTTAAGCGAAATCGTGTTTAGTCAAGCATGGATTCAATACAAAATAAGGGGTTACGTTCTCCAAATGCAAAATTGACAGAAAAAAAAATTTTGCATTGTTCAGATTTGGTGTTTTTAATAATGTTTCATACATTTGTTCAAAATTAACCAAAAGTTAAAATGTATATGCGATTTTATATTTAAAAAAATCTCAAGCAGTATCCATATATGTAGATGTCTCTGAGCCTCAATGAATTCGTCAAAGAATGAGGCGAACAATGTAATTTCATACCAGTATAATTGGTAATACAAAATTCTAAATAGTTTATATTTTTATTATGAATTTAACACGATAAAGAAAAAAATGGTGTTAGTTCGGTTCCGGTTTATTTTTTATGATGTAAATCGGCGATCTGGTTATTGGTCCGGTTTTGGAGTAATCCAATAGTTCACAGCACTTGTTATTGCCTTTATATATGTACTCTACAATTAAATCGCACTTTAAAGGTCACAAAAAATAAACGGACGACTATATCGTATTGCTCCCATAGGAAACAGTTCGTTGTTGACAATAGTAAGTCTATAATACATTTACAATTCAGTAACGATACAATTACAATTTAGTAATAATGCAATTACTATAAAGTAATTGTATTTCGAGTTAGATTTTTCTAGTTGCAGAAATAATTTAAAAGCCTTGATAATTAAAAACAAAATAAAATAAAATGTTTTTTTGAATTTTATACCCTTGCAGAGGGTATTATAATTTCAGTCAGAAGTTTGCAACGAAGTGAAGGAGACATTTCAGACCCCATAAAATATATATATTCTTGATCAGCATGACTAGGAGAGTCGATCTAGCCATGTCTGTCTGTCCGTCCGTTTCTACGCAAACTAGTCTCTCAGTTTTAAAACTATCTGCATGAAACGTTCCCAAAAGTTGTCTTTCTATTGCAGGTAGTACATAAGTCGGAACGAGCCGGATCGGACGACTATAGCATATAGCTCTCATAGAAACATTAGGAAAAATAAATGACAAAAATTATTACTTTGCTGTTTTTATTTTTTTTTAGTTCTTCGACATATAGTAACGGTTAAATATTTTACAATTACGGTTCAAATTTCATCAAAATCGGACGACTATAACATAATTATTTTTGACGTTAAAAACATTTTTCAGAGTTTTAAATACCATTCGAAGTCCATAAGGGACCACCCTTTTAACAGCCCAGTAAAACACAGCTTAACTGTTAACATTTTGTTTATCTTTTTAACATAAATACAACTGTTTATTAACAGAGAATATAAAGCCATTTAAATTCAATTTGTAAACAAGAGAAATTTTTGAAAGCGAGTTCATTATCACTATATATCAAATTATTTTATATTTGTAAGGTATTAGTTTTTTTTATTATGAATAATGAACCTGAACATGAAGTATTTTATTATACCGTTGCAGAGTCAGAAGTTTGCAACGTAGTGAAGGAGACATTTCAGACCCCATAAAGTATATATATTCTTGATCACCATGACGAGGAGAGCCGATCTAGCCATGTCCGTCTGTCCGTCCGTTTCTACGCAAACTAGTCTCTCAGTTTTAAAGATATCTGCATGAAACTTTCCCAAAAGTTGTCTTTCTATTGCAAGTAGAATAAGTCGGAACGAGACGGATCGGACTACTATAGCATATAGCTCCCATTTCAGCAATCGGGTAAAAAAGGAAATAATATTACAGCTTTGATGGCTTTAATTTGTTTAATGTTTAGATCTTCGAGATATAGTAATTTTTATTATTCATAATTACGATTTACATTTTATTAAAATCGGACGATTGTAAAATAATTAAAAAATTATGCCGTTTCTATTTTGTAATTTTTTTATTTCTTTGCTTCCTTCTACCTGATACATACTTTTCAAAGAATACAATACATTCTTTTACTCTGCAAATAAAGGGGATAGATAGGGCCAACTTCTTGTTTTAAGGGTTAATTTGTTGAAGAATTATTACTTTATATCAATTGCCATTTCTTGTAGCCTTTAAATAAATTCAACAAAATTTCGTGTCTTTTGTGAGAATTTTTTCCCCATACATGCAGAAATATTCATAGCCCCCAATCAGAACAGCGGCTCATAAAGTTTTTGGTCCACAGTTTTCAAATAAATACCTTGACATTGGTTCCACTCGGATGCTTAAGCTTCAGAAGCAAAGAAAAAGCAAAGAAAAAAAAAATAAAAAAAAACAATTATTGATCAGAAAAATATACGGTGAGGCACACACTAATTTTTATTAATTAAGACAGGTATTCATTTTGTTCAAATTTCAGTTCATCCAGTGTGAAATATTTAGCGGCCTAAAAAAGAAAGTTTGAGGTTAGTTTTCCATCATTTTAAATTTGTGTACGGCCTACATTTACAAGCGCCAATGGGGAGACCTCGAAATTGGTAGCCAAGACTCGCTCCGTAGGCGTCCAGTAAAAAAGAACGAATAATTTTGTAATAAAGCTAACACACACGGCACTCTCCGCGACTTTTTGGCAACAGCAATTCATGCCAGGAAAAAATCACTTTTCTCTTTTTTCCTCTCCAGCTGAAGAATTCAAATTAGAGTTCTGTTTACAATCGGACGCCATCGCCACCCCTCTCTTTGAACAAGAGATTTATTGAATTGCTCTACCCGCCGTCAACCCCATCCACTGAAACCCGGTGAAATTTTTATTGCTAACGGTCGGTGCTTTGTTTTGGCTCTTAAGACAATTTCAATTCGCACAGCCTCCCCTCAAACAAACAGCGAACTCACCTGCAGTACAGTTTTTTCGGGAATGGCTCACATATTCCTAAAACCCTTCTGAAGTTTAGCAAGTGTACAGGCCGTACGGCCAACAGGCGGGCCCGCTCGGTCCACAGCCTTTGGGCCCACCGCAGCACGAGTAGCTGCAGGGTCCCAGCGACAAGGCGCAGGGACCACACCAAGGTCCGCACCAGGGTCCGCAGGGTCCCGAAGGTCCGTAGCCATAAGGACCGCACCCAAAGCCACACATGATTTTGCTGTTGATGCTGTAGATGGGGAACCTCATACGAAATATTTCTCGAGGCTGGTTTATTGTACACTCACCTAAACTTCACGGATAAAGGAACTGAAAATCTGTATGTGGAAACTGTAGATTTTGTCAGTGAAATTTTGTTCAGAGATTTTCAGACCTTGTTTGCAGCCTGACCCGAGAGCTCTAGATAAAAACTAAACTGAGCTGTTTGGCAATGGGGGACCTGCTGTCATGGATTTTTCGGTTCAAAGTTTGTTTCAAAGCATACTAAGTTTTGTTTGTTTTACGGACCCAACAAAGAATATATATTTTTAGTCGGGATCAATAGTCAGCTCGATCTAGCTATATCCGTCTGTCCGACTGTCGGTCTGTCCAATACTGCTCTCCAGCAGAACACTATCCTATGCTTAAACAAGAAAGGAAGCAAACTTGCATCTATTGCAGGAATTAAATATTTTTGAAAACATTAAAATTAAGATTTACTTGCGTATATGTTTTAAAACATTGAAGCTAAGATGATTTGCAGCTCAATTATTAGATAGTTATTTTATATATTTATATTATTTTTATGGGAGCTATATAATAAAGTCGTCCGATTTTGATGAAATTTATACCGTAATTCTGAAATATTTAACCATTACTATATGTCGAAGAACTAATAAAAAAATTAAAAAACAGCAAAGTTATAATTTTTTTTGTATTTTTTCCGATTGTTCCTATGGGAGCTTTATGCTATAGTCGTCCGATCCGGCTCGTTCCGACTTATATACTACCTGCAATAGGAAGATAACTTTTGGGAAAGTTTCATGCAGATAGCTTTAAAACTGAGAGACTAGTTTGCAGGTAGTATATAAGTCGGAACGAGCCGGATCGGACAACTATATCATATAGCTCCCATGGAAACATTAAAAATATTTCTATTTTGTAATCTCTTTTAAAAATTATTTTATACTAGTTAATAATTCGACAGTTCAGAAATACGCTTTTTATTTTATTAAAATCGGGAAACGATATCATATAGCTGCCAATGGAACTATCGAATAAATAAGCTGCAAATCATCTTAGCTTCAATGTTATTAGACAAGTTAATCATAATTTTAATGTTTCCACGATTATTTAGTTCTTGCAATAACTGCAAGGGTATATGAACTTCGGCTTGCCGTAGTTTGCTTTCTTTCTTGTTTTTTTTTAACCATGTTCTTAAATTTATACCTTTTTCTAACAAAAACAAGAAAGAACGCTATAGTCGAGTGCCCCGACTATTAGATACCCGTTACACAGCCAACAAACTTCAACCTTAGTATTTCCTACAAAACAATCGAAGTTTAGGTGGCGCCATCTGTCAAACTGAATAGCTAAGCTAGGAGCGTGCAGCAATCCCACCCCCCGCTAACAGTTCTGTAATTCTCTCTCTCATTCTCACTCTCTCATTTGCTAACAGCGGCAGAACAGCGACCAATCAGTGGCTTAGCAGTGGCAGAGGGGAGGCAGAGAACTTTATTAGCCCCATAACTTCTAAAATAAAAGCTCAATTTTAAAAATTTTTGGGACTGCCGACAGATATGACCTAAACGCACACACAACAATCAACACTAACCTTCGAACATGTCTCAGAGTGACATTACATACTTTCACGATTTGTAGGCGTTAGAGTGGGCGTGTCTTTTTTATACCCTTGCAGAGGGTATTATAATTTCAGTCAGAAGTTTGCAACGCAGTGAAGGAGACATTTCCGACCCTATAAAGTATATATATTCTTGATCAGCATCACTAGCAGAGTCGATCTAGCCATGTCCGTCTGTCAGTCTGTCCGTCCGTTTTTACGCAAACAGTCTCTCAGTTTATAAGCTATCTGCATGAAACTTTCCCAAAAGTTGTCTTTCTATTGCAGGTAGTATATAAGTCGGAACGAGCCGGATCGGACTACAGCATATAGTTCCCATAGGAACAATTGAAAAAAAAAATTATAACTTTGCTGTTTTTTAATTTTTTTTTTTATTTCTTCGACATTTAGTAATGGTTAAATATTTTCGATTTACGGTTTAAATTTCATCAAAATCGGACGACTATATCATATAGCTCCCATAGGAACAATCGGAAAAAAATACAAAAAAATTATAACTTTGCTGTTTTTTTAATTTTTTTTATTAGTTCTTCGACATATAGTAATAGTTAAATATTTCAGAATTACGGTTTAAATTTCATCAAAATCGGACGACTATAGCATATAGCTCCCATAGAAATAATATAAATATATAAAATAACTATATAATAATTGAGCTGTAAATCATCATAGCTTCAATGTTTTTAAACATATTCGCAAGTAAATCTTAATTTTAATGTTTTCAAAAATAGTTAATTCTTGCTGCAAGGGTATATGAACCTCGGCTTGCCGAAGTTTGCTTCCTTTCTTGTTTTTAATTAAACTTGCGCTGCTTAGGAATTAGACGGTCAGACGGACAGACAGACGGACGTGGGTAGATCGACCGTTTGGTCTTATTTTCAAATATTTTGTTTATAAATAAAAACTATTAAATCTTATCAACGTTTGGTTATATTTTTCATACACTGTTAAAAAAAGCATAGTAAAATCAAACATTTTTATAATTGTTTTAACATAATATTTTCGTATTCGAATTATAAAAATCATTGATTTTGATAGAAAACATACATATTTAAACCTTCAGTCAAATATGAACATAATTAAATCAAAGTGAATAATATTCAAAAAGATATTCCTCATATTAAAATCAAAGTTTTCCATCGTTGTTTTTACTATTTTAAAGATCTGGAATTTTATATATGTACATAGTATGAGGAATGTTGTTTCATATTTAATTTAAATATTTTAGAAATTTATCCGAAACATGGAGCCATTTGTTGTGCAAAGAGGGATTAAGATGAAGTTTGGCATCTTAGTTTTTAAAAAATAGTATCTAATTAACATAGTTTAACGAATGTTAAACTAAGCAATTTAAACAATTTATTTGAAACATAGGCATATTTTTTATAAATATGGGAAATATAAAAAGTTGACACAAGTATACACATAATATACATGTGTTTACGTACGTTCACAAAATATGTGTGTGTTCTTTTTTATATGTACATACATACATAATTGTTAAACTGCAGCAATATCTACGAATGCTGAACAACATCAACTTTTGAAGAGGAGAGAGAATATAAGCAAAACAAGAACAAAAAGTAAATGCAAGGTTGCGTCTGTCCTTTTTATCCGAATTCGTACACCAGTGGTCAAAAATCTATGTAAAAATGTTTGTTCAGTGTTTTAAAGTTTTCTCGAAGGAAACATAATTACAAGCCAACGAAAAACATTGGTTTTCTAGATTAAAATTAATAATTAGTTTGTAATTAAAACAGATTCCTATAGGAATATGTATTCATGCTGGCATAAAACCTTTGCATTTAACTCAAACTTTATGCGCTATTTTTTTAACCTCTACTGTAACATAACGGCATCCAACAAAGTTCGACAGAATTTGTCCATTCTTTTGCACACACATACACATGTGAATAATCTTACACGCCGTTGTCGCGAAGAATATCACTTTTAGTTTTATGGTTGACCAAAGCGGACGTCAATTAAAATAAAAGAAATGTTTTTTCTGTGAAAGTGGATTAGGGTTGTGATGAAAAGGTGAGTAAAAACTTAAATAACACTTAATTATAATATTAATTAATTATTATTTTATTGATAATTTGTAAAACTTATACATGTGTGTTTTTGCATTTTTATCTTTGTTTCTCGTTGTTCTAGGAATTTTCTTTTGTGTCTATTCTTATCTTTTTATTTCTTTTTATTTGTATCAAGGTTGGAACCTAATGATGACCGATGTCGTTAAATTAAATAATTAATTAAATAAATAAAATAATTACAATAATTTGACAGGAAACGGAGTTAACGGACATCCATGATTCTATTCCGAGAATCGGCACAAAGGCGGACTTTCGGTCAAAAGTCATTTTAGGTAAGTGATTTTAATCAAGTATTTATCGATATTTTATAAATTTGTTTAATAGAATTTTTCTGAAGACCCCTAGAACAAGCTGCCAATGCAAAATAAAGGAACAGCGATTGAGTTTTTATATTAATAATGTATTCTTTTGTTTTATTTTTATATTTTGAAGTTGTTTACCAAATAAAAAAAAATAAATCAACAATGGTTAATTTATTCGAAATACGGTCAATATTAAAATTAAATATAAAATACTATCTAATTTGAACAGATAAATGTTTAAAATAATTATGGGTTTTTGTTTACTGTGAATATGAACTAAATTTGAAATAAATATTTATTCTTATTAAATTGAAGTTTGAATGTTCAAATCAATTCTGAAAATAGTTACTATGGTTTACTACATGCCATATTTAAATTTAATATTTTAAACTATTATAACATATTTGAATCAAATACAAAAAATCATTAAATATGCGCAGCTTTCCAACGTCTTTGGATGATATAACTACTCAACAGCAAGCAAAATGTTTTTTGGCTGAATTTGGTTTTCGCCAAACTTTAGCCGGACCGTCATGATAATACAAAATTATCTTAGTCTTGTCACAAAAAATTACATCAATTCAGAACTCCGGCGAATTATTAATAATCCGAACTTAAGACATTTTTCAATATTTACTGCAGACAGTATGGATTTCTTACTTCCCACATATGAAGAGTACTTGTGACGATTCAGTACTTCCCTCACTGTCTCATGGCAAACGGTCTTATGACAGTGTGTTTTAATGCCACTCTGCAATTCTCAAAGGCCTGCTTGCGGTTTATTCTCAATTGTTTTTAACACTTGCGCACAGTCTCGTCGAGAAAGTTTTTCGGGTCTGCCTTATGAGCTGATTAATTCCAGCCTGTTTTCATTTTCCGCGCGGTTGATAATGTTGTAAACTGTTCTTAGTTTCATACTAAGCATTTCACCCAACTCTTTTGCTGTTTTTCTATTCGTTAGATGAACAAAAAACTAACTAAATCATATTTAAATCAGTACGTTTTCCAGGTATTGCAAACAAATCCAGTTAAACAAAAACGTGACTTGATCCGAAAAAAATGTTATCAAGAATGAGGTCAAGGAACACTAGAAAAGTGCAGACGATCATATGGTTTCGAGCTTTCGACCTCCATAGTTTTCCAAAGCAGTTTTGGCATTTTGCAAAGAATTTATTGACAGCGTTATAAGTGACGTTTCATTTTTTTCTTAACTTGTTTACGTTTAGCAATTTATTTTATTCATTTATTATTATTTATTTATATTTTGATTTTAAAATTAGTTTTTTCGAGAAAAAAAAACTACCCATGTTTGCCCACCTCTTAAAATTTCAGAATCTAAAAAAAAACGTTTGCCCACCTCTTTAAAACAAGCTTTTTAACAAAAATAATTTTCCGACCATTTTCGAAAAATAAAAACCGCCCATGTTTGGCCACCTCTCAGAATTTCGGAATCTAAAAAAAATCGTTTGTCCACCTCTTAAAAATTAGTTTTTTAACAAAAAACGTTTTCCAACTTCTTAAAAATTATAAAAAATAAAGGTACTATTTTTTATTAGTTTTTTTCATAAAAATATTAAAATTGGTTTATTTAAACAAAAACTGTATATTTTATTTCTTTAAATAGATACTTAACATTGACATATTATATTATTGTAATAAATCCGTATGGCTGAGACGCTATATATAACTATGTGGATCACCATCTTAGTATCCGATGCTGTAGATTTCCGCCACTGCCTGGACATATCATTATAAAGTTCCCAAAATTCAGTTATTTTTCGGCAATGTTCAATATAATGTCCTATGCACGAGCATAGGACCTGTCGAAGGAATGAATTCAATAGCTCCGCTCAGTATATATTTTGTTTTCACAGAAATTTCAAGTGTTAGTTCTAGTAATGTTGCCGATCCTGTTGCATCCGTTTTAACTATTTTATGAAATGTACTTTCCATTACGAATTCCAAGTCAATGATGATATAAGGAGCTGGATCTATTTCAAGGCTGAACTTTTCACCGCATCTCGTGAAATTTTCATTGTACTGTAGAAAAATTCCTTTATGAATCCAACCAGTGCACCATGTACGCTTACTTGTTCAGCGTCTACAAGCTCCAATCACTTCTTCGAGGTTTTCGCACTTATTTACCTCTTTCAGTTCATGTGACCGGCGTATTGAAGCAACTTATATATATCAAACCTCTATCGCAGCAGAGGCCAGAAGAAATTCCCGCGGAAGCTTATTTTTTAATAAAGTCCACTGTTAAGTTGTCCGTATAAATCGAGTCCATCTGGAGCTTGTAAGCAAAATTGTCCATATAGGCTGTCGCCAATATTTCCACAAGAGAGTCGAATGGGCAAGTGTTTTTAAATTGGATCGATCGTGTTCCAGTACACACTAGAGCCATTCCTCCGCCGTTATGCAAGATCTCATCCCTTTTTCTTCGATGTGATCGATTGTACAGCAAATCCACATTAGGTCACTCATTTAGGTATTCCCCTCTGGGCTTTTGATTAGCTCCGTCCTTTCGTTTTGGTTGAATATACTCATGTCCGAGTTTTTTAAATCATTTTAGTATGCTTCCACCAGCGCCGAAGGACCCACATCGTACTTTAAGGAGAATTTGTCCTTCCTGACATTTGTCCACAGTATAAATTTCAAAAGCTGCTGCACCAACTCAGGCGAAAAATATGGGTTTGGTCGACAGCTTACTGATTTACACTTGAACGCTTCCTTCTATGCGAATTTTTTTGATTTTGTTTATGATGTGGGCTCATCACCATCCATTTTCTTCAGGTAAACATTCATTTTCCTGGTAATTATATTCCGGAGCAGAAAAAGTGGCGATGCGGGTGAGGATATACTTTTTTTCTTTTTTTTCGCTTGGCCGATATTCCCCTTCAATGTGTTCCAAAGAGGCTTCGCTAAGCGCAACAATCAGCATTGATTTCATCATCCGAGCAAAACTTTTCTTGGTCATAGCCACATCGTAGCATCTTATGTAAAAATCCTTTACGTTTGGTAATTTTCCTTTAAAAACGTTTTTTCGGCACATCATAGTTGCATATCTTTTTCGTTAAAGAGACATCGGAAGCAAGTCGCTAAATATTAATTTAAACGGCAGTCAATAAAGCTCAAGCTTATTCCATTAAGTAGCGCCAAGGAGAAGTCGCACACAACCTCCAGTATGAAGCGTCCAAATTTTGAAATAAATCGACTAAGCCAGAATTGAATGATAGCAGTATCATGCTTGGCCGAAGGCATTTGAAACACTGGAAATATACTGTCGCCACCATGCATCAATCTGTTTGGTTTCGCGATTGGTATTACAACACTTCCAGTTGCGTCGACACACATTTTTTTTATATTTTTGATCCGCGATATGTATGTTTTAATTTGAGCTCCTGTGCAGTAAATGCAGAATAATTCATCCAATCCGATATCAATGATGCGTCCTGCCTCACCCTCATATTTTTTGAGGTATAATGACGAAATTGGATCCCAATCCTTGGTTATTCCTAGGTGCTTGTTAATGGCCTCTTCACGAAGTTTTCGAAGTGTGAGCAATTTCGGAATAAAGTTTGGTTCAGTTCCTTTCCTATCTCGAGTCGTCTGGATCCAGGGCATCGTCGTTTTTTTATCTGGTACCGAAACAGATATTAAGATGCCACAATTTTGTCCGGGTTTAACCAAGCAATATCCTTTAAAAGTGGAATTGCACTGACTGTAGTGATCCTCGATCCATAGCCATATACTATCCTCTTTGTCTGATATTATAGCCTTTTTAAAACTGAAGGCACAAGGTAGTGGAACTTTTTTTTATATAAGTACTTGGCAATAGTATCCGTCCAGTTAGGATGCAGATAGTTCTTTAATCGCTATTCAATTTTTTGATCCACCTTAGGAGCAATTGGTCTCCACACTTCTTCGTCCAAATGCAGGTTAAAGTAAAGAAAAGCCAAAGGTCCGTATCTTTTGGTTCTATAATCTGGAACTCCGGGTCATCCAATTCAATGTTGTACTATTTGCAGTATTATCCGGCTACGATATGCCACATCGCTGTTTTACTACAGTAATCACATCGTTCCGGTTAACTCGGAAATTTTTTAATTTTAGAATTTTATTTGTCTTAAAAAAAAAGAAAATTAAAAATTATCAGGCCTGTTCCAGTTTCACTTCCGAAAGATTAACACGATTTCGAATTTCCCAAACCTGTTCCAGTATCCACTTCCGAAAGACTCACATGGATTCTAAACTCCCTCTGTTAATTCTCTGTTAACTTCCGTAAAGCAAGCACAGAAATTAATTGATTTAAAATACATTGCGACAAGTTTAAGTCCAGATGATATTTTTACCTCATTCTTTAATGGTTTAAGAACATTATTGCTTTACAAATTTGGTTTACAAAAACATATTTGACGTTTTACAAATTATTTTGTTATTGCGTCTCAGAATCGATTCGATTCTAGACTTCGGCATTTTGGCAATTCTGCCGCCCATGTTATAATTTCCGAACGAATTGAAGGGGAGGCTGAGAGGGTTGTCATGGTACGAAAAAACAAGTATTTTCTTGGGACTTATTTTTAGCACGCTTTTTAGTGATCTGGTAAGATAAAATTAAAACGTGTTTTTGTTCTTATTACCGCTTAATTTATGGTTCTATTTGTGCTAAAGGTATCTCGTTGGGACCCTTTTCATCGCCTTTGGCAACTCTGGTTCTCAACACTACTTTTGAAAAGTTTACAGCACTGACACCAGCATTTTCCAACACTGACTAAATGCGGCATACAAAAAAATGAAAATTTGTATTTGTGGCCGTCAAGTTCCATCGATATATGCGCTAAACTATATAGCTTTAATCCCAGTAGCTGAGGGACACCAGCGGGCTAAAATTTAATTAACCCTAAGGCAGCAAAACGCCTTTACCCAAAAGAAGGGAAATTTTCCTACGTTAGAAGAAAATTCGAAATGTGATAGACAAATTTAATTCTACTTGTAAACTAGAAGAAATGGGCCAATAAAAAGAAATTTTAATTATTTTTTAAACAAAATCAACAAAAATAATCTTGTCAAGTGATGAAAGTGTGTAAGTGAACA